CCAACGGAAAAACCACAAAGCAGGTGTTGTTGGCAAACAAGACAAAACCACACGAGAAGGCAAATTAGGAAGGACTCAACACAAAACAGAAACTCACTGACTCTCAACACACACAACTCACGTGTGCAGGGGAAGGAGGAGAGGAGAGGCAGTTGGCACGCATGCCAGCAGAGAGGAAGGAATGTTTGCCAACGGAAAACCCACAAAGCAGGTGTTGTTGGCAAACAAGACAAAACCACACGAGAAGGCAAATTAGGAAGGACTCAACACAAAACAGAAACTCACTCACTCTCAACACTCCCCCTCAACTGCCTTCCTCTGCTCCGTCTCAGACGTCGAGGTTCCCACCAGTCGTGGCAGGTGCTGCTCGAAGGTCTGCTTGTCTAGTGCCTTGGTCAGCGCGTCGGCAACCATCTGCGTGCCGGGACAGTGCTGCAGCACAATGGTTCCGTCGGCGATGAGCTCCCGCACGAAGTGGTGGCGTATCCGGATGTGTTTCGTGCGCGGCTTGGTGACGTGGTCGTTACCGATGGCGATGGCCGCCTGGTTATCTGTCAGCATCTTGGTGGCTCCAGCCTCGGGCTCGCCGAGGTCCATGAGCAGCTGCCGCAGGAAGACGACGTCCTGCGCTGCTGCGGAGATGGCCATGTACTCGGCCTCAGCGGTGCTCAGCGCAACCGTGGGTTGCAGCCGGCTGCTCCAAGACACAAGACAGCCGTTGATGTAGCAGGTGAAGCCCGTCGTGGAGCGGCCCGTCAGCTGGTCTGTGCCGAAGCTGGCATCGCTGTAGCACACAAGGTCCAGCGGCTGGTCCTTGCGCGTGCCGCTGCGTCGCTTGAAGAGGAGGCCGTGCTCGCTCGTCGCCTTCAGGTACCGCACGACGTGCTTGGCTGCCTGCCAGTGGACCGTCGTGTAACGGTCCATGTAACGGCAGAGCAGTCCGCACGCGAAGCTGACGTCTGGTCTCGTGCGGTTGGCCAGGTACAGGAGCGAGCCCACGAGGTTGCGGAAAGGCAAGCGTCGGTCGGGCTGCTCGCTGATGCTGGAGGCGTCGATGCCAACACGCATGGGCGTGGACACGCTGGCTGCCGCTGCCAGGTTGTAGTCGTTGACGATGTCGTTGATGGCCTGTGTCTGCGCAATGTGCAACACGCCGTCAGCTGGTGACGTCAGGTGAAGGCCCAGGTACCAGGTGAGCGGGCCCAGGTCCTCTGCCTCGAAGCTCTCCTTGATCTGCTGCTTGCAGGCACGGATGTGGCGCTCGCTGCTGCCGCTGATGATGAGGTCGTCGACGTACGTGATGATCCATGTGCGCTGTCCGTCGTCGTGGAGCTTGGTGAAGAGGCAAGCGTCGACGTTGCTCTGCGCCCATCCGTTGGTCTTGAGGAAGGTGTGCAGCTTCTTGGCCCATGCACGGCCAGCTTGCTTGAGGCCGTAGAGCGGCTTGAGCAGCCGGCACACCTTGCCCGCGTAGCGTTGAGCGCCGTCGTCGATGTCGGTGAAGTGCGGCGGCAGCTCCATGTACAGCTCCTCCTTGAGATCAGCCTGCAGGTAAGCCGACTTGAAGTCGAGCTGGTGCAGCTGGTGCTGTCGTTGCAGGGAGACGGCGAGCACAGTGAGGATGGTCTTGGCTGCTGGTGTTGGGGCGTAGGTCTGGTCGAAGTCGATGCCCGGTCGCTGGCTGAAGCCCTTGGCGACCCAGCGTGCCTTGAAGCGCGTCAGCGTGCCTTCCGCATCACGCTTCACCTTGAAGACGAAGCGTGACTTGAGGGGCGTGTGTTGCCGTGGCACGGCGCTGCGTGGGATGAGCTTGATGACGCCGTTTGCGCTCCATCGCCCCGATCTCCTCCAAGCATGCCTGAGTCCACTGCTTGCGTTGCTGGCTCTTGAAGTGCTTGCTTGATTGCTTGCAGGCTCCGTGAAGGCTGGATGTCGCCACTGCTGCTTGCTGTGAACGCGCCTGCCTCCGGTGTCGCTTGCATCTGTGTGTCTGGATCGTAGTGGCGTCGTTGGTGTCGCTGCTGCTGTCGTCGTCAAAGTCCGTGAGCAGGAAGTCTGTCTCGACATCCTCGTCCTGCTCCTCGTCGATGTGAACCGTTGGTGGCTCACCGTCAGTAGTGTTGTTGCTGCTGTCACGTGCACTGGGAAGCTGGAGCATGGACGATGTCGTGGATGTCTGCACTTGCTCCTCCCCCTCATCCATGACATCGGCCTTGGAGAAGGGAAGGAAGCGGACGTGGATGGAGGACACAACGGTGTTTGTGTCTGCGAAGTAGACGAGGTGGCTGTTGCTGCTGCTGTTGTGGCCGACGTAGATGCCTCGACGACCCTTGGGCTGCAGGCGTCCGCGCTGTGTGCTGATGTGGACGACGGCCGGCTGCCCGAAGATGTGCAGCTGCGGCACGTGCTTGGGCAGCGAGCCCGTGACAATCTGCAGCGGTGTCTTGCCGTGGAGGGAAGGGCGAGGCATGTTGTTGAGGATGTGGAGGGCGTGGTTGCAGGCAAGGCTCCAGTACGATGCGTCGAGGCCTGCACCCGTGATCATGGCTCGCACCATGTCGGAGAGGGTGCGCACCTGTCGCTCGACGATGCCGTTCTGCGCCTGGGTGTACGGCGGGGACTGCTGGTGCTGCTTCAGGTGCTTCTTGACGATGGCCTGGAAGTCAGCTCCGAGGAAGATGGCATCGGAATCCGTCTGGAGTGCTGTTGTTGTGGGCGAGATGGGGAGCTTGGTCTCGCGCAGGAAAGACTGGAACGCGGCAACTGCGTCCTTCTTGGCATTGAGATGGACTGCATGCAGGAGCTTGCTTTGTTGAGAGTCAGTGCGTTTCTGTTTTGTGTTGAGTCCTTCCTAATTTGCCTTCTCATGTGGTTTTGTCTTGTTTGCCAACAACACCTGCTTTGTGGTTTTTCCGTTTGCAAACATTCCTTCCTCTCTGCTGGCATGCATGTGTACCAACTGCCTCTCCTCTCCTCCTTCCCCTACACACGTGAGTTGTGTGCCATGTGTTTGTGTGTATGTGCATGCCCGTCATGCTTGGCAAATGCTATGTGTGCGTGCCATGCAGCGTTGTGAAGTGTTGTCTGTTGTGTATGCTTGCCTGCAAGCATTCATGCCATGCCTAGCATTGCTCTGCGCGCATGTATGCATGCTGCTCATTGTTTAGATTGTTTGTGTTCGTGCACACTCTGCCCATGTCGCCTTGGCAGCGTCATTGACTGTGTGTGCACTTGTCTAGTGTTTGTTTGAGCGTGCTGCCCGAGTTGATTAGGCAGCAGCTTGTTGTGCTTGTTCATTCTCCTTGTGTTCTTGTTTGTTGCGTTTGCCTACAGTAAACACACACACACACACCTGTCGTGTTTCTACAGATTATGAGACCCAGCCACTCCTGATCATCATCGCCACTTGTCTCACACTCGCTTGTGCTTCTTCTCTCCCTTCTGCTTGTCCCCTCTCTGTTTCTCCATCACCTTCTTGAGCGTGCAGCATGTCTGACCCGTCGGACCACGTCGTTTCCACGCCAGGATTCAAGATGGACCTGCCCAAGTTCACTGGCTCGCCCGGCACCTTTCATGCGTGGAGCATTCGCATGAAGATGGCGCTCAAGCTCCGCGGCGACGACGTCTGGGCAGCTGTGGAGGCAGGAGCATCGTCATCAGGAGGTCCAAGCTCAGCGACACGCTCAAGTGCAAGGAGACCGACAGCAGGAGATCACGCCAACATCACCGCTGCAAACCTCATCGCGTCCACTGTTGACAGGCAAGTCCTATCTGCTGAGTCATCATTGACCTCCCGTCTTCACGACACCACAAATTTGCATTCACCTCTCTTGTGTTCTGGAATGTTCACGTGATTTCCCTCCAACCTGTTGCACGTGCAGTGTTTACCTTGTGTGGTTGCTCGATGTTACATGCTCTTGCATAACACACCACATAACCACACAACTCTCAACAAACACTGCCACGTCACCACTTTGCGTTGTCGACAATTCTTGTCTTGTGTTCTGTTTCTTTCTGTTGGAGTGTTCATTCATCCTACATCCTTGTTTGCTTCACAACTCAAGTAAACACACACAACTCTCTCTTGCCAAGACAATCTCCCACACAACACACAGCACACTCTGCACACACACACACAAGTCTCCAACAACAGCACCACCACCATGAGCTTGCAACAGTGCTCGCCGGGCACCTGTGTGCGTTCCGCGTGCTTGCTGACGCTGTGACGAGTGCTCTTGGTCACTGCGCACGTTGTACACTGCTTGCTGCTGATGGCGTTGCGATCATCGATGCCCATCAGCTTGCAGTACTGCTGCACATCGTTGTCGTTGCGGTGGCCAAGCACCTCATGCATCGATGGTGTCTGTGCCTTGCTCTGGGCTGCAGGAGCTGCTGCGTGTTGCTGTGGTTGCTTGCAGGCATCAGCGGTGAGTCCGTGTGCCGTGGGTGGACCAACAGCAACAATGGGCCAGCATCGGAGGCTGTTGCGCTCCTTCAGCTTGACCTCGGCTCCGTGGCTGAAGCGCACGTAGTGCCCATCAGCGCCATCACGCTGCGAGTGGCCCGTTGGCCTGCCGCTGCTGTCCCTGGTCAGACGACCGAGGGCGATGAGGTTGGCCTGGCCCTCGGGCACGTAGAGGCACTCCTGTAGCACAATCTGCATCCTGGCTCCGCTCGTCGTGCGTGCATGCAACAGCACAGAGCCAACACCGCGCACGGGCACACGTGTGCCGCCAAACGCAGTGATGTGGCGTGGATGGTGCTGTTGCAGGTGCGGTGTCAACTCCACGAAGGCGTCCTTGACGAAGGTGAGGTGGTGTGAAGCACCCGTGTCTGCAAGCCACGTGAGTGGGTCATGCAGCTGCGTGGGTGTAGTAGCTGTGGCAGCGACGAAGGTTGCTGCGTCTTGACCATGTTGATGCTGTGCCTGTGCAGTGAAGCCTGTTGCTCCGTTGTCGCGTTGCTTCTTGCGACACTCTGCTGCACGGTGTCCATACTTGCCACAGTAGTGACAGTTGCCACGGAAGCGGCGCCCTTTGCCGTTGCTGTTGCCGTTGCTGTTGCCATTGTTGCGTCCCTGGCGTCCGTGGTTGTTGCTGTTGTTGGAGAAGCCGCGTCTTCTACCTCTGCGTGGCGGTGCGCTTGCCATGAAGCCGCCTGCCTGCGGCTGTGTGCGTGAACCACGCATCTGCTGCTCCAACTGCTGCAGCCTGATGCTGAGCTCGAGGAGGGAGGGAAAGCGGCCACTGGCAAAGTAGGGAAGCGTGAGCGGGGCTGTCCAGCGTGGCAGCTGCTTCCAGACGATGGTGAAGAGGTCCTCGTTGTCCTGGCGCACGCCCGCGTCCTGCAACTGCTGCTGCAGCTCCATGTGTCGCTCGAAGAAGCGGGCGAGGTTGCCGCAGGGGACGTGAAGCTGCGCCTCCTTGAGCTCTGCGATGCGGAGGCGGTCCTGCGAAGCGTAGTGGTCCTTGAGCCGGGCCCATCCTTGGCCGGCGTTGACGTCTGCTTCTCCGTTGGTGAAGAGGAGAAGGGGGTAGCCTGAGAGCAGAGGCCTGCACGATGTGTTTGGGGTTGGTTGATTTGGTTTCAATGTGTATCCTCCTTGAATGCTTCCTGTTTTGGCTAATTCAACAACAACATTTCCTTGAACAATTTCAACAATCATACCTCATGATCTTCATTGTGCCAGCAGCGTGTAAATGGAGAACAACTGGTTCAACTCAACAATGCACATACCCGTAACACAAAAGGCTGTTTCCCCAACAATGAACACGTCCCTTTTCGGCAGCACCAAACCAACAGAACGCACACCTTTCTCGAACAGTAGGGCTCATTGCTGAGGGCTTCTTGTTCTATCCCCTCACACACGCAGTCCCACGCTGGGTTCGATGTATTCTGCTGCCACGAAGGTCATGTTTATGTCGAACACATGTCTTGTACTTCCACTCAACTCAAATTTCAAGTGGGAAAAGCCAGTAACAACCGGAGAAAACAAGTGAGGCGTCGATTCAACGACTCGTTTGGTCAACAGCTTGCATCATCATTATCCATTGCCATCGTGTATGCCGTCGTTGACACGATTGCCTCCGCGCCTTCGGACCACAGCTCAATGTTGTCTGGCAAGGAGTTCTGTTTGCGAGAGAATTGGTGTGGCGCAGTTGTAGCGTTAGGTACAGACTAGTTGACCGAAGAATACCAAGAAAAGACCCGGAATCCAGTGTTATTTACGCGCCTAATAAACACACACACACCTGGGGATGAACCGCTGCGGTGAGTGCTGCGACCCCGCCATTGGCGAAGACCTCCACCACCGATTGATCGACGAAGATATTGAGAGAAACGTGTGCTTGTCGCCTGTTAAGTGTTACGCGGTTGATAGCAGCATCCAGGGGTTACGCATGAGAGCATGCACGGTGGTGAAACAGTCAAAGCCTGACTTGGAGTTACAAGGACAGGTGTGCTCCAACACTCAAGACACACTTACGATTGCTGGGTGACATTGACAGACGTGAAGCTGTGGTCTCCACTGGCTTCTTGACAAGCTGTCTTGAGCCAGCAACAAGGGAGTCCAAGCTGCAAACGTGTGGGTTGTGGTGGGGTTCAAACAGTCAGGCTGACAGACACGACGATCGAGGAAGACTGCAGGCAAAATCAGGTACCATTCCGTCGTTCGATCACATACAGCAGCTCATGGACAGACAACACGACATACCAAACAATCGCCATCTGAGACAGTGCTGCTCGGAACGAAGGTGAAGCCAGCGCACTTGCTGTCACCACAGCAGGCCTCATAGCACTCGTTGGTTGAGTTGAGCACGCCCCTGAAATGGCGGTAGTCATTGCCTGGCCACGATCAAGGCAAGGCAATGCAATGCAGGCACGAAGGTAAGGTACCTGTAAAAGGAAGGCCACAAAAGAAGAAGAAGAAGAACAAGAAGAACAAGAAGAAGAAGAAGAAGAAGAAGAAGAACAAGAACAAGAACAAGAACAAGAAGAACAAGAACAACAAGAACAAGAAGAAGAAGAAGAAGAAGAAGAAGAAGAAGAAGAAGAAGAATAGAAGAAGAAGAAGAAGAAGAAGAAGAAGAACAACAACAACACACCTGGCATGTCGCCAGCAGCCGAAGTGCTCATGCAATCACCAGAACTACTGGAGTGCGCTTCGACGTTAGGCAGCGACTGGACATTGCATGTGTACACTGGCGTTGCGGCGCCCGGCAACGTGCTGGACCTTGAATTGGACGTGAAACACACGCACCCATGCACACACACACATGAGCAAGGAGCAAACAGATGTGAATGTGAGACAAGGCTTGAAACAGGCCGGGACAGGGGTGTCCTTGAATGCCATACCTTGTTGCGTTGAGAACGATGGAGGTGTTTGCAGCCGAGAGGATGCCAGAGGTGACGCCTTTCAGCGGCACCGGCGGCATAATCTGCGCCTTGAGCCAGCAAAATGAATCTCCTGAGGCGGTGTGCAACAGAGCGCGAACAAACCACAACATCACTGCTGCTCAGTGGCAAGCCAGGCAGATTGAAGCGTGCCTGTTGATATGTTGCACACACCCACCAACACAGACATCCACACAGACATAGGCATAGACATACATACAGATGCAGACATACACGCACCCACATACACCCACACACACACACCCACGCACACACAGACACACACAGACACACACAGACACACACAGACACACACACAGACACATACACGCACACACGCACAATCCCGCACGCTCTCCAACACCCAAATCCACGAGTGAACTTTTCCAGCAAAATCAAGGAGAGTCAATCGCACGTGTATCAAAGACGAAGCCGACGCAGTCTGTGTTCTGACAGCAGAGTTGACGGCAGTGACCTGCTGTTGCTTCTTGGCCAGACAGCGGGATGTGGGTGATATCACCACCTGGACGATCCGTATCTGTCAATGCGTTGAGCATGTCCACGGCACAATGTCACATGGTCTCATTGTAAGCCAGCAGACCATGGTTGCACCACAATCAGCCCGAAGTCACACCACAAGCGTTCCCCCGCACCTGCACTCACCAGGCACCAGGGGCGTATCCATACAGGACACAACTTGCGATGCTTGAGTCACTTGAATCTTGGCGTTGAATGAAATGCAAGAAGGAAAACCAAGGAGAAGCCACCGACAACGACGGCGACGACGACGATGACCACCGGGGTGGCGGGTGAGAAGCCAACACGAGCAAGATGCTGTGGGAGGAGGGGTTCCATGCAGAGATTCAACCATAGACGCGGAGTTACAGCACCAGCACATGTGCACACACACACGCAGGCACATGCTCCCGTACGCACCGTGGTTAGTTCCGTACGGTTCTGGGAGGTCAGCACCCGAATGCCAATGGAACTCTTGTTCGATGAGAGGGCCGTGAAGCGAAGGTCAACCACCAAATTGAATTGTCCTGAGCACATGAAGGCCATGATCAAGAGAGATGAAACGAACCAAAATCATCAAACGAACCAGCCATCTGATGAACGAACATTGTCGAGCGCACAACCAACCAACCAATCAACCACACACACACACACACACACACACACACACACACACACACACACACACACACACACACACACACACACACACACACGCGCGCGCGCGCACGCACGCACACACATACACACACACGCAAGCACGCACGCACAGAGGCGAGAACAACTTGACCGCATTCATACCGCCATCGGATGTGGGAAGCGTAAAATCGTATGTGGAGTCTCTGAGATGAATGTTGGGCAGAGAGAGTGCATGGTGTCGCAACGTCGCCATTTCTGGTACAGGTTTTGCCAACAGCGTCAAGGGAGATGTAATGATATGGAGCTCGCGGGGAAGACTCTGGTATCCTGCAAAACCCGCCTCCTTTTCCAGAGCCACAGAGAGCCCATCACGCACCCAGTGCAATGCTACGCGGCGGCCCGTGTCATCGACGAGTGTTTTAGCAGCATATGCACCGCCGCTATCAAGGACACCATGGGTGCTTGCCACGAAACGGCCGGATGCGTCCTCGTGGCCAATTGCCCAGTGCGTACGCCCCGTTGAAGGGATCGAGGACAGCAACACCTGTCATGCCGTGATGCGTGGCGCACGTATTTCCATGCCGGGTAGCTTATGAGGGCGATGCTCGTGCACAAGTACTGCCACTGCACCACGGGTGTTCGGGGGAGAGGGTGGTTAGTGCAAGTGCCACTGCATACATACATACCTTGTAGCCATCAAGCGAAAAGTAGTCCACGCACTCTGCGCGGGGCGTGAGCGAGCGCGGCCAGGTAAACAGCGTGCTGGTAAAATTCCAATGCAACCAGTCGGTTGATTCAAAGGCAACAACAGCGGCTGTGCCATTCTCAAATCCGTCGCCCGTGCTGCTTCCTGCCAAGAGCTGCTTGCACAGGTGTGGGTGCAAAACATGGATTGATAATCGAGTCACACATGACACTCACCGAAATGACCCCGACACACACAGTTGTGAAATGAACCACACATCCATACACAGACAGAATGACACACACACACACACACACACACACACACACACAGCCACAGACACAGACACACACCCATAGGCAGACACACACACACACACACACAGACACACCACACCCATACACAGACACACATCTGTGCACATCGCATCATCAGCAGCAGTCGCAGGGACAAGAGTGCCAAGAAGCAGGGTTTCGCAGGCGCCCACAGGTACAACGCACCCGGACACATGAGGATGAACGCTGGCCGGGACATGCAGTCAAGGCGACGTCACCAATCAGTGTCACATTTGGTGGGTGGGAGAACACTGGTTTTTGAGAGGCCGCCGACCAATGCAGGAGGTCTGAGTTGTTCGTGAAGGCCAGTGATCCACCGCTTTGCACTGCAACTGCGCGTGCATCTGCGAGCAGTTGTCACAGCATGCACAAAAGATTCAGCGGCGAACAAGCGTGTCATGTAACCAAGAAGCAGTGAGGGAGGGTGTGAGCTCATGCTTTGAGGCTCGAGCGCGAGGAGGAATACAAAACGAGGGTGATAAGCCCTGTGCAGGCATGTGGGAACGCTTGTGTGGGCTGTTGCTCACCGAATGGCAGGCGATCGTGGACGATGGCCGTACTGGATGTGAAGTTGAGTGCACGCGGGTTCACTATTTGGCCTGTGCCTGCGGAATTGTTGATTGCCAGTGGCTGATGGCGCCAGGTGACGAGATTGGTGCTTGTTGCGTGGCAGTATCCTTGGTGTCCTCCCGGCGCCCACGGGGCAATGGTGCTGTTTGTCGGATTGCACAAGAAGAACAAGTGGTACGTGCCTGTACTCTCCTCAAAGTAAGGCACAGGGTCGTTCATCCACCTGAGTGAGTGAGTGAGTGAGTGAGTGAGTGAGTGAGTGAGTGAGTGAGTGAGTGAGTGAGTGAGTGAGTGAGTGAGTGAGTGAGTGAGTGAGTGAGTGAGTGAGTGAGTGAGTGAGTGAGTGTATGCGCGTATGTGTAAGTGAGTGAGTGTATGCACGTACGTGTAAGTGAGTGAGTGAGTGAGTGAGTGAGTGAGCCTGGAAGTGCATAAATGTATTGCAGTTCCACTGCAACAACGCACCCGCACCCCTGCCAACAAAGCAGCATCCTATCGCAAGGTGGTGTCCAATACACACACACACACACACACACACACACACACACACACACACACACACACACACACACACACACACACACACACACACACACACACACACACACACACACACGCATAAACATACAACTACAGGTGCACACACACAAATATACCCTGCACGTCGAGAGAAGTGGTAGCCTGGGCGAGTGAGGACGGGCGTCGCACTGGTCTCACCACACTCAGCTGCCACCACCACCACCACAACAACAACCACAACCACAACCCAAACAAGCGCTGCCTTCATCCTCGTTCATCCAGTCATCCGAGTGAGTCAAATCATGGAAATGTTTCGCTACTTATCTACAAGCACACCAACAAGGATGACGTTGAACAACAGCTGTGACGGTGGTGCTGCCCACCACCATCACCGCCAGCATCATCAAGACGAGCGGGCGCCGTTGCTTGGTCGCCATGGTGTGCAGGCAACAGAAGAAGCAGGTGCCACAGCGCACGCGGAACTCGAAGAAAGTGATTCCATGGTGACACCTGATGATGGTGGTGCTGTCTCAAGCGTGGAAACTCTGCCACCACGGCAGAGGTGTTGTTCACGACGAAAGTGGCTCGTCCGCTCGCTGGCTACTCTCGTGGTAAGTGTCGCGTGCAAGCATCGCCATCGATTAACGCGAGGAGAAGGAAGGGCAAGCAAGCGAGTTCGAAACGGTTGGAAACTAACGCCACGTGCTTATGGCGTCAGCTTCCGTTCCTTGACACCACGGTCGTGTTTATGCTTGCTTGGCTTGGGCAGGTGCTCGTGGTGCTGGCTTGCATCGGATACTTTGTCATTCTGCCCCGCATCAACATTTATCATCCATCGCACAAGCCTGCACAAAGGTGTGGTGATGATTTTAGTATCAATGGTGTGCGCTTCGTGAATCCTGCCGGTTTGTTTCACGTTTGTTTCTTCAAGTTTGTCCTGCTTCCCATGCAAGCACATAGGGCCGCCAGCCGCGCGCCCACCCGCTGTGGTGCTTCTCCTCCGCTTGGGGGTTTCACACAATGTGGTGCATTGCTTCTCATCCTCGCTGTTGCTGCGCACGGCAGGATACCACCGGGTCCGCCCCACGTAGTGCTCACCACCACCACAAGCACCGCTGCAAGCATCACCTGGACAGCACCCAACAACACCGGTGGGCCCACGGATGCATGTGTGTGTGTGTGTGTGTGCGAGATACAGAGAGGGGTCAAACATGCTTGTTCGTGACCAGCAGTGCTCAGGATTGTTGTTTGTGACCGTGAGCAGCATGTGCTGATGCTGGCTGTGATTGAATTCAGCACACTGACACCGCACCACACAACAACATCCTGCACCAACTGCTGCAGGAACCGGGGTGATTCTCCACTATCGCATCCAGCAGCGCAAAGAGCACAGCAACTTTACTACCGTGTCCCAGACGTATTCTTTCAATTTTACTTTCAGTGGCCTCCGCGCCGACACCTGGTGAGAGTCATGAATGCCTTCACATACGACGAAAAGAACGTCACACACACACACAACGCATGCACACCGAGAAAGAACCATACCCCACACGCACACACGCACGCACACGCACGCACACATGCACGCACACATGCACGCGCACACGCACATTCACGTGCCTTGTGTGCAATCACGATTTCCTGTTTGTTCGTTGTTCGGCTCACACCTCTGCTGTGTTGTTTGGGTGCAAGGTACTGCTTTCGTGTGTGCGCAGTGAGCTCCGTTGGGCCCGGCAATTACTCGACCGTCTGTAACGTCACAGCACCACCACACCGCCCAGCCTCAGTGGTTGGTGTGGTGCCCCTGAACAGCAGCGAATCGACCATTACCATCGGTGCGGTATGCTTGCCTCGTCTGCGCTTGCCACCCACACGCCACCACGTTCAAACGGGCATTCAACTGCCAGCACACCACTGGGAGGTGGTGGCCGGCCCTGGCGGCCACTGGACCATTCCTTGGCGTGCTCACCATCGCTCATATCATCATCTGTTTCATGCCCCGGCTCTCTCGCCTACTCCTTGCACAACTCCTTGCATGTGATGTAGGATGGGGGCCGCTGCACTGCGGAGGAAGCGCGTGTGATCTTGTGGAAGTGCAAGGCCGCAAACTAGCAACACCACTCGGCTCACCAGCAGCAGCAGCATTATCATCGTCATCACCTTGTCAGCGGTCGTGCGATTACCACTCGCTTGGAAATGCCACAAACAACGCAACAGCGCTGACTGTACACGAACTACCATCAAACACGCTGTTCATGATCCGGCTGCGCGCACACAACCACGTAGGGTTTGGTGCTTTCTCCAAGCCGCTTGCACTGCAGACGAATGCAGTGCACGCCGGTTTGCCAGGTGCTTGCCCAGGACCCCGTGTTGGAAACATCACCGCTGGTGCTATGGCTGTCCGCTGGAGCCGCAACTGCACAACAAACGGCGCCCAGCTGCTGACCGTGGAGGTTCAAGTCTCAAGTACGAACCGCACCACGGGGTTTCACACCCTCTCAAACTCGTTTCTTTCCACATCATACTCGCTAACGGGGCTGCGTGCGTTGCACACGTACTGCTTTCGACTCCGCGCCATCACAGCGATTGGAAGCGGGCCATGGTCAAATGCAACATGCGCATCAACCACCAAAGGCGGCACTCCGCTTCCCCCAGCGATCCTCCCAGCCCCGCTCAGCGCCAACGGTACAAGGTGCGCAAGTTGGCCTTGTCTTGCACATGTGAAACAGCCTTCCTCTTGTCATGTGGTTGAACACCCTTTGACTATGTTGTTGTTGTGCATGTGTTGCGTTCGAGAGGCGTGCGCAAGGAGTGAAGGGGCAAAGCCAACGCTCTGATTGTGCTATTGCTTCAAGCAAGCCATGCAGACTCGGTTCTCTTGGTTTTCATTCAGAAGTTGCGTTGCTTCATGTGATGTGACATGTCCATTTCGACGGGTTGTTGCTGCTGCTTGTTATGTTGTGGTTGGCAGTTTAACCATTGGCTGGCGAAAACCCGGTGATGGAGGGCACCCCATTCTCCGTTACGATGTAACCTGTGCTGTGCTGTGTGTGCGTATGTGTGTGCGTATGTGTGTGTGTGTGTGCGTGGGTGTTGCGTGGGTGTTGCGTGGGTGTTGCGTGGGTGTGTGCTGTGTGCGTATGTGTGTGTGTGCCTGCGTGCGTGCGTGCGTGCGTGGGTGTGCGTGTGTCTGTGCCTGGAAGGAAGTGCGCGTGAATTGTCTTCTTGGTAGTTTGGTCTCGCCGCCGGTGGGCGGTGTTCACATTTGGCTGACGCCTGATTCTGTAGGTGGAGCAGGACAACTGGTGGATTGACGAGCCACTGCGTCTTGCGGGAAACACAACGCGGCTCCAATTTACCACAACCTTTCCTTTGTTTCCATCAGCCACGTACACTTTCCGTGTGCGCGCCTGCAACGCCATCGGGTGTGGGGTACGTTGCTGTGCAAGGGGTTTGCCCTGCGACGTGCGCGAGTTATCCTGTCCCTGTGTGCCTCACATTTCAGAATCGAATGCGTGACCATGTGTGTGTGTGTGCGCGCGCGCGTGTGTGTGCGGATTCTTAGGCGTTCAGTAACAACCGTCACTTTACAACTGCGCGCACAGGCCATTGCGCTAACAGCAAGTGAGTCAACCCCCTTTCTTTTGTGCATGCACGCGTGTCTTGAGGCGGTACTATTGCTTATCTGTTTGTCTCTGCAAATCCCATCTGATCGTCGTTGTCATCTCCTATGCACTTCACACACATATATACATGCACACGCGCGCACGCATGCGTGCCCACGTTTTCACCTCATCCTAGGGACGCGCATGCTTACAAAGCGACCAAGTCTACCATGAAACCGTCCATTCAAGGGTGCCTCATCAGCTGTGTTGCCTCTGGCACATCATGCGTCATCACCTGCATCGAAAAGAAGGTACACGCCTGCTGCACTGATCCATTCGCGGTCTCTCCGCCCTTACCTCATTGTTCATCGTGGTGGTTGGCTGCCAATGCTCACATTTGAAGCTTTCTCCCCCCCCCACCCACGTGCTTAGGTTGGCCTGAGCAAGGGCTGCGCCAACTGCTGGGCACAAGAAGGACTTTGCACCCTCAAGAATTGCATTCTTCCCTGTACAAACCCAAAGAGCAAGAAATGCGCCGAATGCTCCGAAAAGAAGGTGCGTACCGTTTCCGGGTGGAGGGGGTGAGCGAGGGAGTACATGCAGGTGCTTGAGCGTGAGTGAGTGAGTGAGTGGGTGAGTGAGTGAGTGAGTGAGTGAGTGAGTGAGTGAGTGAGTGAGTGAGTGAGTGAGCGAGTGAGTGAGTGAGTGAGTGAGTGAGTGAGTGAGTGAGTGAGTGAGTGAATGAGTGAGTGAATGAGTGAATGAGTGAGTGAGTGAGTGAGTGAGTGAGTGAATGAGTGAGTGAATGAGTGAGTAAGTGAGTGAGAGAGTGTATGCTTGCAATGACATATCTCTGTGAGTGTATGCTTGCAGTGGCGTGTCTCTGCAAGCATTTCTTTTTTTTTCTGCGTGTGTGCATGTGCACGTTTTGCGTGTTTGTACTGCACGTGTGAGCTATCATTGCTGTCCCGCGTTTATTGCTGTCGCGTATGAACTCCGGCTGCATGTACTCACTCACTGTGCTTTATTCTCCCCCTTTTTTGTTTTTTGATTTTGTTTCAGTGCTTCCCCGCGTGTGTCGCGTGTAGTGGCGTTCCTCGCCAGTACTTCCCTCCCTAACCACCTTTGACACCACCTATTATGCTGCCACAGACACAGCTGCCGCTGGTTTTTTTTTTGTTTGCTGTTATAATCGAAGAAGCAACTGTCCTAACAAATACAGAATCAAGTGAAAGTTATCAATCACATCACATCATCGGCCAAGCCCATCTGCGCACGCTCCACCCATATCCACAAAGAAGCAGCACCCAAAGCTCCACATACATGTGTTTCAGAAAGTTCACACACACACACACACACACACACACACACGATTCCGAGCAGTCGATGTTACTGCGCCCTCGCAGCACGAGAAATGACAGCACCCGCGCTACTCTTCCGCTGCCTCAAGCTCTCCCTGCTCTTCGTCATCATCATCATCACCATCGTCATTGTCATCACTCTCGTCGCTGTGTGTCAGAAAGTCCTCCACGTTTGAGAGCTCAAGGCCTTCCGAGTTGAGCAACACCGCGCGTCGTAGGTGCTTTGCAGCAATCGCCGTCGCCTCCTGCATCGCAATCGTGACAAGATCATGTGCGCGGGCAGGCACAAATTATATGTGTGAGCGCAGAAGGGGACAACTGCGAGTGGAACAAGTGTGCCACAAGCAAGAGTAAGCAGGTGTCCACACACTCCTTTGGATGCAGCGGCATGCTAACAAGGGCACAATCCAGCAGGTGGACATGCAGTAGCAACACCACACATACCCTCTTGCGTGTGTAGTAGATGGACAGCGAAAGCAACACAGTGAAGGCCAGGTAAAGGATGATTGCTACCGCAGCAAGGGCACTGTCATTTGTGGCCGGGCAAGCGACCTCGAAACCTGCACTACCGCTCGCGCTGCTACCGGCTGCCGCCGCCGGCGTTGTAGGCCGCGTGCTGTTTGTCAGCGCCGCCTGAATCGCAGCACTCACATCTGCACACGCAGGCGGGGATGCACGTGGTGGAGCGGAGATGTGGCTTTGAATGCAAAGCTTCAAGTCATCAGCGGCAGCAGCCTCCGCCAAGTCAGCAACTGAGGCGGCCCTCACTTGAGCATGCACCAGCACTTGAGTTTCTGCACGAAGAACGAATATATAAAACCACATGTGAGTGTCGAAGCAAGGCCGTTGAGGAGGAGGAGGAGGAGGAGGAGAGCACAAACCAAGGTAATGTCGACACACACACACACACACACACACACACACACACACACACACACACACACACACACACACACACACACACGCACGACACGACACACACGCACGCACGCACACACACACACACACACACACACACACACACACGCACGCACGCACCACAAGCGATTGAAAATGCGGTGGCCTCGCGATTGTCTGGAAACCGCCATGGCTGTTGGATGGCCGCAACGGATGCAGCATCGTCTGCGCTGCGCAGCAAGACAGAGGACCGTGGTGCGGACCGCCCATCTTGCAAAGCGCGCGCGTTTGCACTGTGCACCAGCACCCATCCTGTTGTGTCAAAGTAGAGCAGGCGGCTGGAGGAGCGAGAGAACGCATACACCGCACGGCCATTCACATGCGGGCAGTCCGTCGCGTTCGCCCCAAAGCACACACGCTCAAATCGGCCCAAGAAGGAGAGCATGTTCGGTGGCCCAAAGGTAACCAGCGACGTACACGCGTCAATGCCCTCGCTGCCGGCTGCAGCTGCAGTCGTGCACGTGAAAACACGAGTCACTGACTCTGCAGTGCAGGTCAGTGAGGACGCGGCAGCGGCTATCGCATGCACCACAAACGACGCTGTCACAACGTTGTCTTCGCTGTCATGTGCAGCATCATTCTCCAGCAGCGAAGCCGGTGACTGCACGCGAACGATGGCCACAGATGTGGTGATGTTCATCCACACGGTCGACTGCTGCTCGTAGCCCAGCGGCAGCGTGCCGTCCCTCGTGCCGGCAGCAACAGCTGCATCATAGGCCGCAGCAGCAGACCCATCACCATCGTTGGCAGTGGCTCCAGCGACCACCACCTTTTCAGGCAGGTCGTACGAGATGGTGAACAGCCCAAACCGCTGGGTGCGGCCGCGTTCAGCCGCCGTCACGTTCCACACAGCAGTTGCGGCAGGGCCCCGGCCTTCAGCGCCGTCCTCGTACCACGCAGCAAACACGGCAGCGGCCGAGTCATCCAGCAGACGCGTGCTGGTGGCCCGGAGGCCCGGCCAGCACGACTCCACGTCAGCGGCGAGTTCACAGTCGCACGACTGGCTGTGTACGAGCTGCGGGCTCGCTGCTGCGCCTGCCGCGAACGCACCGCAGTCGTACGCACACACGCCCCCACCACATGCTGTGCAGGTCGAAGCGGAGCAAGCGCCGCCCACACAGCAGCGCAGCCCGAGCGAATGGGTGACATCCGAGCTCGCACCTGAGATGCGAAACAGGCGCACGCGTTCAAAGTCAAGGGGAGAAGCAGCAAGCACAGTTGGACCGGCGTCCACGCCGTCATCACCGCGGAAGCGGAGCACGGCGCGGCATTGGCCACGAAGAAGAAGCCGCCGCGCCTCTGCACTCACCAGTGCACCACCTGCACCCCACACGGCATGCTGTTCTTGCTGCTGCTGTTGACGTTGATTGGATGGTAGCGGCAAGCGTGCGTCAACTAGCACTTGGTCGTGCTCCGTGGGCTTGAGCACACTGCACACAACACGCACGCTGTGGTTGGTACACGCAGCGCTGGACAAAAACCTGGTCCTGTCAAACCGAAGCGTTTCCGGGTCGTGCGAGAGCACAACGCTCAGTCGCAGCGCACAGGACTTAGGGCCAACGGCGCTGGTGGCCTCATCACTCTGCTCGAGCGAAACGTCAGCGGAGTACTGCCCAAGCTGTGTATCAAATCCAGCAGCAGCAGCAGCAGCAGCGGCAGCTATGTCGCCTGCATCCTCAGCTGTGAGCACATCCACATGCGGCCTGGTCAGGGCGACACCTAGCCACGCAACAACACTCTCGGCCGTCCGCACTTCTTCCGCACGGCGGTACACCGCACGCACAGCGAATACATGCAGGCCACGGGCGCGCGTGTCGACGTTGATCGGGGAGGTGCACCTGAACCACGGTGCCGCTGCCACCAGGGCTTCCGCTTTGGCCTTTGCCTGACCAGACACAAAATGCCTCATGTGCAGCGCCTCTGCGCGCGTGTGCACGCGGAAAGGTGCAGCAACGCCCTGCGCCTTGAGCAGAGATGCCGGCAGCGTCACCACCTGGCACTCGTACGCGGTAACAGGGAGTGGAACGCCGTGCTGGCGGGCTCCAAACACGATCCACTGTTCAGCAGCCACGCTCGGAGTGTTCAGCGGTGGCAGAGACGTGGCAGCAAACGAAACAACGGGCGCATCCGGGGCAATCACGGCGTAGTAGGAGACGGGGGCTGCGCCCGTCGCGTCGGTGCCAGCGTCGTCAGCCAGGGAGACGTTGAGGGCAATCCAAACCGGAAATAGGCCAGAGGGCAAGCCTGAGCTTGAAAGCGGTGGGTTTGCAGCAGTTAGGAGGGTGGCAATTGAGATGGGTGATGTGCACGGTGCATCCAGCGCAGGCGCCAAGTGCTGGGTCACCCGCATTGCAGCATCAGCGCCGTGAGGCGCCTGAACGCACGTTTCTACGCAGTCACACGGGCGCCACCACAGCACACATCTCAGCGACAGGCCGTCGGCGGGGCTGCTACCGGTCTGGGCGGCAGTCTCGACCTCTGCCGCCACATTCACAGTTAGGTGTGGAATGTCCTGTGGGTACTGGTAGACGGCTGCAGGCAAAGGCGCGGCCGAGAGTGCGGGTGGGGCGGTGCTCACGGTGAACGTGTAGACGGAAGTTTGGCCGACGTTGCCAAGCTCATCCGTTGGAACAACGGCAAATGCGTACGCGCCATCCACCACGCGATAACTCATTGGAGGTGTGCATGCCTGCAAGAGCTCTCGCGGGACCGCGGGCGCGGAGGCCGACGAGGCCTGAGCGGCGGCTACCTCGGTTAGGGCACAAGAAAAGGTGGCTGTGATACCGGTTGCTGCAACCCGCTGCTGTACCGTGCGGGGCAACGGGTCAAGGAGCGCAAAGTCAAATGTGACGGTCGTTGGCTGGGAGGCATCGCCAGTGGTCACAGCACGCAGCGGGCGTGCATTCCACACCAGTGATGGTGGTGTTGTGTCCCAGTAGAGCTGCAACTGGGCAGCATCGCCGCGTTGGCCGGCAGCATCCACCGCTCGGACCAGCAGCTCCTGCTGAACCCCGCCGTCTTCCTTGGGAACGCACAGTGGCGGGTTGCCTGCGTGTGCAGCCTGAGGATTGGTCGCTGGGCACGCGTTACGATGGTACACGCGCACGGGGATAGGCGCAGCCGCGACCCCTGCCCAGCCCAGTGCGGCCAACACGGACGATGCACCATCGGCATCTGCCCGCACCGCTGAGGACACGTCAATGTCTTCGGCGCCAGTCGTGTGCAGCGCCAGTGGCACCTGGGCTACTGTACCGTCTGTGGTGGATAGGTGCATCAGGAGGGTCGTGTTTGCCGTGCGCTGCGCTGCCTCCCGTGCGTGCTGGGAGCATGACGCCACATCACTCGATGTCAGCAACAGAACCAGTGCATCGGGCCAGTGCGAGGGCGCGGTGCCGACGAGATTGCAGTGGGGCACCAGCTTGGCGACCACAGCGTCGGACAGCAGCGTGGCGTTCTGCACCAGCCACTCCACCGCTGCGGTGGGACGGATGGAGGCCGTGTCCATTGGCGGGAGTAGCGATGCTTGCACATGCATGGCCACCAGAGTGTGTGCCGCAGCTGCTGTTTCCTGCGCGTGTTGGTCGGCGCCATCGCCATCGACGATGCCTTCTTCAATGGCCACGCGCAAACCCTCGCTGTTGAGTGCACGGGAGACAGCGGCCAGGCGCGCCAGGTGTTGCGGATAGGACTGGGTCTGGTTCAGCGTCAGCGTGACCGGCAAGAGGAGCGTTGGATTGACGCCCGCGAGCCAGGGAGGGTATCCTTCGCCAGCGGCTGCGGTGCTGAGAGAGTACAGCGTGGCTGTGGTGGCGTTTGTGGGTAGGGCGGCGCCGCCAGTCGATCCACACTGCACCGCCGCTGCGCCAGGCGTGAGTGGCAGCGACATGGTACAGTTGGCATGCGTGCTATTCCAACCGCCATTGCTGCCTGCATGATCCCTCAACTGTCCAGCACAAGACCACAAGCAGTTGGTTGGCGTGGCGGCACACGCCAGCAAATCCAAGGACGTGATTGAGGACCCCACACCTTCGGCGTTTCCGTTCTGGGCAGCAGCGACACCGCTGACTTTGCACCGGCGCTGCTGCGTCTGCGTCCCACCTTCCTGTGCCGCAGCAGCAGCAGCAGACACGGCTTCGACGAAAGCCGCTTCCGCAGCGCCAAACTGGCGGCCACCGTCCTGGGAAAACGCAGCAGCAGTTTGGTGCGCGCGAATCTCCGGCAGGAGCAGCAGGGATGGCGGCGCATCGCCGCCAATGCGGACCCCGAGCAGTGCACCCGCCCCACTACTGGCCAGCTCACTGCGAACGTGGATTGCAAGCGCAGCTTGGATGGCAGCGTCCGTGCTGATCGGGAGTGGTGCCGCCGCTGACGGTGTTGCTGTTATTGATGAGGATTGTGACGATTTGGCGTGTCCGAGAAAGGCACAGTCGTCATTGGTTGTGCAATTGTGCAGCAGCCGCAGCAGCAGTGATCGAACAGCTGGGCCTTGGACAGCAATGGTTGCCGCAACGTCGATTGTGCATGCTGGCGGTACCGGTGGTCCACACGCCTCAAACCCTGTGGTTGTTGCTGTGGTGGTGGTGGTGGTGGTGGTGCCGGTGCCGGGTGTGCGCAGCAGACACTCGTACGACTGCACACACTCGAAGAAGAGCGCATCGCTCATGGGCGTACGCACGTCCAGCAACAGCGTGCTGGGTTCTCGGGTCAGCACCTGTACACCATCGTCGGTGGAGACGGCGAGCGCGAGTGGGGCGGACGATGTGTTGTTGTCCATTGCTTCTTTTGGGGTTGCGGGGACGATGACAGCTGGTGCAGGCGCAGCGGCGTCCACGGAGTACGTGAGACGCATCCACGCGCCAAGGTTGTCGGCGGGGTCGCGGGCGCGCATGGCGAGGGCGTGCGGGCCGTGTGTGGTGGCAAAGGCCAGCGGCAGGGTGCGCGTGGTGGCGCAGCCCAGGGCCTGGCGTTGGGCATGGCAGGCAGCGCTGGTGGCGTTGGTGGTGCAAGCGGAGAGGATGCGGCATGTTGCGCCGGCGCAAGAGAGCGAGGGCTCAATGCAGTACACGTCAGGCAGCAGTTGGCCATCAACTTCAACCTCCAACGCAGGCACAAAGGCAAACCCCTGGCCGGTATCGAAGGGTATCTCGTCCGCACCAAACGCGGCATGCACCGCGTATCCGTTGCCGGGCGACGGGCCCATGGTGACCTTAACTGTTGGGCGGTCAGTGTCCACGCGCCACAGGAACCGCGTCGGTGGCTGCTGAAGGTTACCCACGCGATCAACAGCATATACCAGCAGCTCATGCGTCCCGCCAGACAGCGGAAGAGGCTTCATCGATGACGAGCCATCACCATCGTCACCTTGAGATGCGGTGTTGCTGCTGTCGCCACCAGTGTTGGCGCTGGATGCATCGTCTGAGAGCACGCGGCGGCAAAACGCGTGCAACTGGAGGTCGGAAGGGGCGACTGACGGTGGTGCGGTTGTCCATATCCACTGAGCGCCATCGGAATGGCCCTGCGAGAGCCACGCATCGACATCTGCCCGCAAGGGCTGTGTCACCACGCGCGCAGGGGAGAACGAGGCGTCGGTGGTTGCGCTTGGATCAAACTCCGGCGCGGTCCACGACAGGTCTGTCAGCCAGCGCGTGTCGTGGCTACACATCCACGAGGCATCAGAGAACACGTCCATGAATGGCAGGGAGATGCGGATGCGGCCGGAGAGGGCGTCGCCGCCGGTGCGGGCGGCAATGGCGAGCACGCGCGTCGCGGCTGGGATGTCGACAATGCGCGGGCCATCTACAGCCCGCACGCCCACGTACTCTTGCCCGTCCACATAAAGGGTGGCTGTGTCCCGGGCACTGGCGACAACGCGCGTTGCGTTGGTGGGGGCACCGCACCATGCACGCATCTCGTAGTCGAGGCAGGGCCGGCCGTCCGACTGGTCGGCGTGGCGGCACCGCAGCTGCACCCGCGCCTGCTCGCCAACACGCGCCTCGCCAGCTGCAGCCACCACCGTCGCACACGGTGACTCGAACGTCTGCAGCGTGTCCTGCGCAGGGAGCTGTTCGCAGCCGGGCATGGCGGCGGGGCACACGGCGCGACACTCCACGGCCCACAACGCCTGTCCCAGTGCGCACGCCACCGTCTCCGTATCCCCACCACCGTCGACGGCAGGGTCATCGGGGCTGTGGTTGTTTGTCCATGCGGTCCATCCGCGCACAGGGGCCATCGCTTGCGGCGGTGCGGCGGTGCTGGTACCTCCGTCATCGGGTGGTGCGGTGGTCGTGGCGTTGGTCATGGGCGACGCGTCTGCACCAAGATACAGCGTGCCGTTCGTGCAGGGAACATGCTGGCCATCCACGGAGCAGACGAAGGACTCTGTGTCGGCGCTGGACGTGTCAAAGGCAAACGCTGCCCAGGTGCGTGTGGTGACGGGTGGTGGTGCGTTGGTGATGCTTGCAGGCAGCACGGTGGTATCCGTCGTCCAGCGGAACGTGGTAACGTCGCTGCTAAGGCCATGCACGGAGTGGGCCCGCACGCGAAAGACGTGACCGGCATCTGGCAGCCCAGCAAAGGACTCCTGCTGCGCGCTCGTGGCGATACGGAAGCGGGCGCCGGTGTTGGCGAACACGGGGTCCACAACAACAGCAGTTGCGTCTGTGCTGGACGTGTTTGTGTTTGTGTTTGTGATGGTGCTGGGCTGTGGGAAGCAAGGAAACCATGTCTGGTCATCAAGCTGGCACTCGAAGCTCACGAGGCCGTCGAGGGCGGTGGATGTGAGGTGAACGCGGGCGTCAAAGCTGCTGGAGGCAAACACGCACGTGTCTGTGGCAACGAGCACGCCGCGACACGCGTAGCTGAAGTGCTCAAGCGAGTGGAAGGCTGCAGTGACGTTGGGGATGTGAATGGAGACAGACAGCTGTGGTGGGCGTGTTGCGATGTGAAACGCGTGCTGCACACACGCGGCACTGGCGCCGTCGGTTGCTGGCACAGCGCTGGAATCACAGAAGGCGGTCGTTGCTGTGTTGCCCGCAGCGTCGACGGCGCGTACCTGAAACACAAACGCGCCCGAGGCGTTTGTGAGGAGCGGGGACACGTCAAAGGACCACGGGGAGGCGCAGGGCTGGAATGGCGGCTGGAGGCGCTGCGGGGAAGCCTGTGGTGGCGCTGCTGCTGTCGCGTCGTAGGCGATGCGGCAGTACGGCTGCGCAGCGGCTGGATGGGCAGGAACAGGGGCCGGGTCTTGCGCAGAAAAGTGGAACTGGCCGGCAGGAATGGAGGAGTAGCCCGTGCCGCTGTCGAAGAGGCGGTCACTGGCGACAGTGACAATGGGCGGCTGCGTGTCAACCGACCACACGGCGCTGACAACGGGGCCCTTATTACCGGCAGCGTCGATGCCGCGAACGTGGAGCGTGTGGCTGTTGACGGTGTTTGGTGCTGGGATGGGGGTGCTGACCATGACTGCGAGACTGCTGTTGGTCACGTAGCTGGTGAGCCACGCACCACCAACGCCACCAGCAGCGCCACCATCACCAGCATTCGCAGCGCCGGTGCATGGCTGGAACGGACCGTCGTCAGTGGCTGCGGTTGAACCACTGGCTGGCGTGTTGGTGAGGCGGCATTCGATCCGCCACAGGTCTGCGCTGAGAGCGGACGGAGAGGCGCTCGCGTCCTGCTGGACAAGCGTTGCTTGGATGAGGGTTGTGTTTGTTTGCGTTGCAGGGAACCGGGAGGCGCGGAAAGGCGGGCCGTTGTTCTGCACGATGTAGTCGTTGAAGGCTGCCAGAAAGTCTTCGGAGGTCTGCCACGTCGTTGGAAACGGGGGACGGTCGCGCACACCAAACTGAATGCTGGGCGCTGTCAACTCAGGCGCTTGGGTGTCTTTGGGGGCGGGAGGGATGAGTGAGTGAGTGTGTGTGTGAGTGAGTGAGTGAGTGAGTGAGTGAGTGAGTGAGTGAGTGAGTGAGTGAGTGAGTGAGTGAGTGAATGAGTGAGTGAGTG